AAGAGAAGAGAAAAGGAAAGGAAAGAAAAGAAAAGAAAAGAAAAGAAAAGAAAAGAAAAGACTTTTGTGTCTCTCTGTTCACTGCCCACTACTCACAGTAGCCAAATTCTGGAAATAACCCGAGTATCCAGAAGGGACGAGTGAATAAGAATGTATGGTATTATATACACCACGGGATACTCCCCCACTATAAATCATGAGGGATCGAAGTAATAGTACAGCAATAAGTCACTTGTGTTACATGTGGCTGACCTCGGTGTGATCCCTGGCATCCCATAGGGTCCCCTGAGCACCACCAGGAGTGATACCTGAGTGCAAAGCCAGGAGTAACCCCTGAGCATCACCAAGTGTGGCCCAAAATCCAAAAAAAAAAAAAAATTTAAGAATCCTTTATTTTCATAATCTCATTTTATACCCTCCTTGTCTTTGCCACCTCACAAGAATAAGAACTCTGCAGCTATATAAAAAATATATATATATATATATGAGAGAGAGAACAAAAGGGTTCTCACAGAGGCAGGGTGGGATGGGGGGATGGGGGGTGGGAGGGACACTGGGATCCGTGGTGGTGGGAAATGGGCACTGGTGGAGGGATGGGTACTTGATCTCTGTATAACTGAGACCCAAGCACAAAAGTTTGTAAGTCTACAACTGTACCTCATGGTGTCTCACTAATAAAAATTAAAATATATATATATATATATATATTAGAAAACTAATACCCAGTAGAAGACTAATACCCATGGTCAGGGAAAACAGGGGTTAAGGAGGACTGGTCAATGGTTGGATCTAACCACAACTGTGTGCGAGGCTGAGGGTAGATAAGATAGAGAAGAAACCGGTATGATAATAATAGCTGGAAACAACCACGCTGGACAAGAACTTAGTGTTAAAAGTAGGTAAAGGGGGGCTGGAGTCATAGCACAGCGGGTAGGGCGTTTGCCTTGCACGCGGTCGACCCGGGTTCGATTCCCAGCATCCTATATGGTCCCCCGAGCACCACCAGGAGTAACTCCTGAGTGCAGAGCCAGGAGTAACCCCTGTGCATTGCCGGGTGTGACCCAAAAAAATTTTTTTAAAAAGTAGGTAAAGGGATATTCTTGATAACAATTCAGTAACAATGTTGTAAACCACAATGCCCAAAAGGTGAGAGGAGAGAGAGAGAGAGAGATGGACGGAGAGACAGAGACAGAGACAGAGAGAAGAAAAGTGACTGCCACAGAGGCAGTGGAGGTGGGGGGTGGGTTGACTGAAGGGACCTGGGGACCCTGGTGCCGGGAAAGGGACACTGGCGGAGGGATGGGTCTTGGAACACTGTATGACTAAAATCCGAATCATGAACAGCTTTGTAAGGGTCTATCTCACAGTGATTCAACAACAACAACAAGGACTCCCCCAGCAACTCAAAATCACAATGTGACCCTCTCTCTCACTGTCACACCAGCCAAATGATCTTTCTGAAAAAGGCCGGAAACAGTGTTGGCGGGGCTGTGGTGAAGACAAGGAAATCTAGTCACTGCTGGTAGGAGTGTCGCCTGGTTCAGCCTCTTGGGTAAACAGTCTGGAGACGTCCCAAAACATTGCAAATAGAACTTCCACGTGACCCACTACCCAGCCCCTGGACAGGTCCCCCAGGAACCGCAAAACGTAAATCTGAAAAGACACGAGCACACTGGCGTCCACTGCAGCTTTCTCTGCTATAGCCACAGCTGGATGGCTCCAGTGCCCCAAAGCATCTGGGTCGAGACACTGTTCTCTGGGGCTGGAGAGAGCCCTGGGTTCTATCCTTGGCTTCCCTTAGGGACCCCCAAGCACAGCAGAAGTGATGCCTGAGCACAGAGTCAGGAGTAAGCCCTGAGCACTGCTGGGTGTGGAGAGAGAAAGAAAGAAAGAAAGAAAGAAAGAAAGAAAGAAAGAAAGGAAGGAAGGAAGGAAGGGAGGGAAAGTTGGAAGGAAGGAGAGAGAAAGAAAAAGAAAGGAAGGAAGGAGAGAGAAAGAAAAAGAAAGGAAGGAAGGAGAGAGAAAGAAAAGAGAAAGAAAGGAACGAAGGAACGAAGGAAGGGAAGGAAGGAAGGAGGGAAGGAAGGAAGGAAGAGAGAGAATGAAAGAGAAGAAGGAAGGAAAGAAGGGAGAAAGAAAGAGAAAGAAAGAAAGGGAGAAAGAAAGAAAGAAAGAGAGAGAGAGAAAAAAGAGAAAGAAAGGAGGAAGGAATAAAAGAAAGAAAGAAAGAAAGAAAGAAAGAAAGAAAGAAAGAAAGAGGAGGAAAGAAAGAAAGAGAGAGAAAGGAGGAAGGAATAAAAGAAAGAAAGAAAGAAAGAAAGAAAGAGGAGGAAAGAAAGAAAGAGAGAGAAAGGAGGAAGGAATAAAAGAAAGAAAGAGAGGGAAAGGAGGAAAGAAAGAAAGAAAGAAAGAAAGAAGAAAGAAAGAAAGAAAGAAAGAAAGAGAAAGGAGGAAGGAATAAAAGAAAGAAAGAAAGAAAGAGAGAGAGAGAAAGGAAGGAAGGAAGGAAGGAAGAAAGAAAGAAAGAAAGGAAGAAAGAGAAAGGAGGAGAGAAAGAAAGAAAGAAAGAAAGAAAGAAAGAAAGAAAGAAGGAAGGAAGGAAGGAAGAGAAAGTTGAAAGGGAGAAAGAAAAAGGAGAGAAAGAAAGAGAAAGGAAGGAAGGAAGGAAGGAAGGAAGGAAGGAAGAGAAAGTTGAAAGGGAGAAAGAAAAAGGAGAGAAAGAAAGAGAAAGGAAGGAAGGAAGGAAGGAAGGAAGGAAGGAAGGAAGGAAGGAAGGAAGGAAGGAAGGAAGGGACTAAACCCTGAGATAAGGGTTCATAGAGCTGGGAACCGAGGGGGTCCCGGGACGTGGGGAACGGGGGCTCGTGAGGTAACGGTGGAAGCGTCTTGAAACAAGGGTGGCGAGACTGACGCCCCAGCCCTGGAGCTGTAAACCGTGGTCTCAGTACCACTCCAGACCTTGAGCCCACGGTTGAAAGAACTTCAAGGCGGGGCGGTGGGGACGGTTCAGAAGTAAGGCAGCGGCGTGGGGGCCTGGGAGAGTTCAGAGGGGCAGGCGCTGGCCTCACATACCCCACCTGCCTCCCATCCCCATCGAGTCCCCGAGCACTTAGCCAAGAGTGATCCTGGGCAGAGCCAGGACTAGACCATGTGACCCCAAACCAAAGCAAAACAGCAACAGAAACAGTGCTTGCCTTACATGTGGCTGCCCACAAAAGTGCCCCCAAATCCCACACCACAAGATTTTTGAATCAAGAAAATTACCGATGGGGCTGGGGCGATAGCACAGCGGGTAGAGCGTTTGCCTTGCACGCGGCCGACCCGGGTTCGATTCCCAGCATCCCTTTGGGTCCCCTGAGCACCGCCAGGAGTCATTCCTGAGTGCAGAGCCAGGAGGAACCCCTGAGCATTGCCGGGTGTGACTGAAAAAGCAAAAAATAAATAAATAAAATAATTTTTTTAAAAACTAAAATAAGGGCTGGAGCGATAGCACAGTGGATAGGGTGTTTGCCTTGCCCGCGGCCGACCCGGGTTCGATCCCCAGCATCCCATAGGGTCCCCTGAGCACCACCAGGAGTAATTCCTGAGTGCAGAGCCAGGAGCAACCCCTGTGCATTGCTAGGTGTGACCCAAAAAGGAAAATAAATAAATAAATAAAATTAAAAAATAAAAATAAAAACTAAAATAAGGGGGGCTGGAGAGATAGCACAACAGGTAGGGCGTTTGCCCTGCACGCGGCCGACCCGGGTTCGATTCCCAGCGTCCCATTGGATCCCCCGAGCACTGCCAGGGGTCATTCCTGAGTGCAGAGCCAGGAGGAACCCCTGTGCATCGCCGGGTGTGACCCAAAAAAAGCAAAATAAATAAATAAATAAATAAAATAAAAACTAAAATAAAATAAGTTACGGCTTTAGGGGCCAAGGCAATAGTACAGCAGGGAAAGTACTTGTCTTGTGTAGGGTTGACACAAGTTTGATCTCTGGCGTCCCCTAGGGTCCCTCAAGCCCTTCCAGGAGTGAACCCTGAGGGTAGAGTCAGATGTAATCCATGAATACCCCTGGGTGTGATCATTGCCCCTCCCCCCCCAAAAAAATGACCCTTCATTCATTCAAAAGAATAATAATAGGACTGGAGCATTAGAACAGCAGGTAAAGCACTTGCTTTGCGCGTGGCTGACCTGGGTTCGATCCCTGGCACCCCACATGAGCTGAGTTCAATCCCCTTCACCTCACATGGTCCACCCCTCCCCCCCCCCCGCCCGAGCACTGCCAGGGGTGATTCTTGAGTACAGAGCCAGGAGTAAGCCCTGAGCACAGCCAGGTGTGACCTCCAAACAAAACAAAGAATATTAATAAAGAATAAAAGTGTCGGGGCTGGAGCGATAGCACAGCGGGGAGGGCGTCTGCCTTGCATGCGGCAGACCCGGGTTCGATTCCCAGCATCCCATAGGGTCCCCTGAGCACCACCGGGGGTGATTCCTGAGTGCAGAGCCAGGAGGAACCCCTGAGCATTGCTGGGTGTGACCCCAAAAAAGAAAAGAAAAGAAAAAAAAGAATGGAAGTGTCCTAAGTTAAGGGCTTTCCCGACTCTCCACATCTCTCCCCTGCAAAGTAACCTGGAACAGTGCCTGACCCAGTGGAGAAATTCTGGCCACTGGGATGAATGAATGAAAGAATGAATGAATGAATGACACCCCCAGAGGGGAAACCAGGCCCTCCCCCGCCCCATGGCCACCTGACTCACATCTTCAGAAGCCTCTGGAAATTGTTAAGAACACGTGAGAGACAGAGAGATGGGCCCGAGGAGGGGGTGGGGGCACAGGAAGGCGAGGGAGGGGGGAAGGGGAGGGGCCGAACCGCAGCTCTAAAGGGGCCCCGGGCGCACCGACAGTCAGTGCAGGGCACCGGTTGGGCAATCGCCGGTTCCTCCCGCCGCCGGGGTCTGCAGGACCCAGTCAGCTGGTGCCAACACACCCACTCTGCACCCTCCTCGGAGCAGGCATGGAAGAGGCTGGGGTGAGGCCCTCGGTGTTCGTGGTGGACGGACAGACCGACGTCCCTTTCCGGAGACTCGGGCCCAGGAAAGACCGCTGCAACGCCACCCGGCTGGGCCTGGGCCTCCTGCTGCTGCTGCTGGTGGCCGGGCTGGTCATTCAGGGCTCCTTCTTGCTCCAGCTGCACTGGCGGATGGAAGAAATGGTGAGTGAGGGGCCCCGGCAGGCCGGAAGGTGGGAGGGTGGGGGCCTGGGGTGGGGACCTTGGAGAGAGAGCAGGTTGGCTGTCCGGGTCACCAAAGCTCCTTGTGCATGCATGCACGGAGGCGGGACCCAGAGCAACCTGGCGCCCCGGAGCTCAGTGTCCCCCTCTGTAAAATAAAATTTAAAAAAAAGGGGGCGGGAGTGATAGCACAGCGGGGAGGGCGTTTGCCTTGCATGCGGCCGACCCGGGTTCGATTCCCAGCATCCCATATGTTCCCCTGAGCACCGCCAGGAGTAATTCCTGAGTGCAGAGCCAGGAGGAACCCCTGTGCATTGCCGGGTGTGACCCAAAAAGCAAAAAAAAAATTTTTTTTTGAGGGGCTGGAGCAATAGCACAGTGGGTAGGGCGTTTGCCTTGCACGCGGCCGACCCGGGTTCGATTCCCAGCATCCCATATGGTCCCCCAGGCACCGCCAGGGGTAATTCCTGAGTGCATGAGCCAGGAGGAACCCCTGTGCATCGCTGGGTGTGACCCAAAAACAAAACAAAACAAAAAAAATGCAGGGGCTGGAGTGATAGCACAGCGGGGAGGGCGTTTGCCTTGCACGCGGCCGACCTGGGTTCGATTCCCAGCATCCCATAGGATCCCCAGAGCACCTCCAGAAGTGATTCCTGAGTGCATGAGCCAGGAGTGACCCCTGAACATCGCAGGGTGTGACCCCAAAACCAAAAAGAAAGAAAAAGAAAGAAAAAAAGAAACCAGGGCTGGAGCGATAGCACAGAGGGTAGGGCGTTTGCCTTGCACGTGGCCGACCTGGGTTCGATTCCCAGCATCCCATATGATCCCCTGAGCACCGCCAGGGGTAATTCCTGAGTGCATGAGCCAGGAGGAACCCCTGTGCATCGCCGGGTGTGACCCACAAAGGAAAAAAAAAATTTTAATTAAAAAAAAATTAAAAAGAAAAAAAAAAGAAAAAGCCCTGCCCAGCTCAGGTCTCTTAGGTAAGAGTCGGTGGCGGCCTGGAGCCCCGCCCCCTGAAAGCGCTCCTCCAATCAGAACCGCGCGTTCGCCGCTCTCCCCGCCCACCGCGGGGGTGACTGACAGGCAATTGACAAATAGAGCCACGTGCGCGGTCACTGGGTTTGCGTTGCAGAGGGGAGACGGCCAGGCCAAGCTCTCGCGGTGGGAACTGTGTCTTTGCAATCACCTCGCAGCAAGCGTGCGTGTGGTTGATCAGCCGGTTCCCCTGTTGATCCTCGACTGCAATCCTAAGGGCTCGTTATCGATCATAAGGGCTCGTTATCGACCCGGGTTCGATTCCCGGGTCCGGACGGCTGCACGCTCGTGCACAGACGCTGCGGGTCGTGACCTGGCATCGCCGCGTTCTTGCCCATCCGCAACCCGGGCTGTTGTGCCTCCTGGGTTCCTGGGTTTCTCCGCGCGTGTAGACAGACAGACCCCGCGGGGCCCCGCTCTGAGCAGGGAGAGGATTGGAGCTCTGGAAGAGAACTTGCAGGGTTTTTTTTGGTTGGGTTTTTTTTTTTTTTTTTGGCTTTTTGGGTCACCCCTGGCGATGCACAGGGGTTACTCCTGGCTCTGCACTCAGGAATGACCCCTGGCGGTGCTCAGGGGACCCTATGGGATGCTGGGAATCGAACCCGGGTCGGCCGTGTGCAAGGCAAATGCCCTCCCCGCTGTACTATCACTCAAGCCCCAAGCTTTTTTTTTTTTTTTTGCTTTTTTGGGTCACACCCAGCGATGCTCAGAGGTTATTCCTGGCTCTGCACTCAGGAATCACTCCTGGAGGTGCTCAGGGGACCCTATGGGATGCTGGGAATCGAACCCGGGTCGGCCGCGTGCAAGGCAAATGCCCTACTCGCTGTGCTATCACTCCAGCCCAAGAGAACTTGCAGGTTTGGGCTCCTGAATCCCGACCCTAGCAGCTTCCCACCCCCACCCACTCCCCCGACCCCCCAAAAATGTGCCCTGCGTAAGTCATTGGAGATGCCTTGACGATGTCACAGAAGCATTGGAGACTGTGCTGCCCTGAGCCTTGCGTCCCCCTGCCCACCCTGTCCAGCCACCCGGGTGTCCTAGCTTTACTGTGGCTTATGTAGCAGTCAGCCTTTGGTGTGTAGTGAGTGACCTTTGGAGGTTGCCTCCTGGGTGTCTGGTAGAAGAATATACTTTGGGGCTGACAGCACAGCGGGGAGGGCATTTGCCTTGCAGGCGGCCGACCCGGGTTCGATTCCCAGCATCCCATAGGGTCCCCTGAGCTCCGCCAGGAATGATTCCTGAGTGCAGAGCCAGGAATAACCTCTGAGCATCGCTGGGTGTGACCCAAAAAAGCAAAAAAAAAAAAAAAAAAAAAAAAAGCTTGGGGCTTGAGTGATAGTACAGCGGGGAGGGCGTTTGCCTTGCACGCGGCCGACCCGGGTTTGACTACCAGCATCCCATAGGGTCCCCTGAGCACCGCCAGGAGTAATTCCTGAGTGCAGAGCCAGGAGTAACCCCTGTGCATCTCCGGGTGTAACCCAAAAAGAAAAAAAAAAGAGAAGAATATGCTTTGCACAAGTGAACTCAAAAAATCCTAAGCCCGATTCTATGTGCCAAGGGGGGAAACTGAGGCACTGGACGCTTGGGAGGGTGCCGATGGGGATCGGTGGGGGGAAGTGCCATGCCATGGGGCTGTTGGGTCCATGTCTGAGGGTGGAGTCGGGGGTGTGGGCGTCCCTCAGCCCTGAGTGATTTTTCATTGTGCATTTTCCAGGACCAAGGGACGATGGGATCGGATGGGCAGCTTGTCCACAGTGAGTAACCGTCCTGGTACCCCAGTGAGGGCAGATTTCAGGGAGGGGGTGTTCCTGCGCTACCCTCAGCCCCGCTGCCCATTGCTCAATCAGTTTTGCACAACTGGTCCATCATTAGCTGTCCCTCCCCCAGGCCCTGAGAAGCAGAAGTTGGGGTCTCTCCGGAAAGGGTGCGGTTTGCCCCAAGAGGTCACCTTACTGACCTCCAGGGAAGCTGGCTCTTTCCCCCTTCCCACTGCTTTCACCTCTGACCTTTGACCCTCTCTCCCCAGAGCGGAACTCTGCGGAGGAGAAACCAGTGGCACACCTTACAGGTAAGAGTGACCTGTGTTGGTGGGGGGGGGGGGGGGCTGGAGAGATAGCACAGCGGGGAGGGCGTTTGCCTTGCACGCGGCCGACCCGGGTTCGATTCCCAGCATCCCATAATGGTCGGTCCCCTGAGCACCGCCAGGAGTAACTCCTGAGTGCAGAGCCAGGAGGAACCCCTGTGCATTGCTGGATGTGACCCAAAAAGCAAAAAAAAAAAAAAAAAGAGTGACCTGGGGGGAAAAATGAGTACCCTAACAGGTCAGAGCATCCATTCATTCGGAGTTCATTCAGAGTTGCTCTGTCATAGGGTTCCCGCACTGGGCGGCAGGGGGCTGTGAAGGGGGGGACACACCAGACAGTACTCAGGGATTACTCCTGATTCTGTGCTCGAGAATCACTCCTGGTGGGGATTGGGAGACCCTATGTGGTGCCAGCTTTGAACCCAGGTCAGCCGTGTGCAAGGGAAGGGCCCTCTCACCGTACTATTTCTCTGGTTCCAACAGCTGCTATCTTTGCCTCCACTTTATAAATGGGAAACTGAGGCACACAGATTCCCAATCAGGTTGCCAGAGCCAGTTCCGCCCCATCCCCTCAGTTCTACCATCTCTAGGCTGTTTAGGGTAATTTTTTTACTCGGATTTGGTTGGGGTGGCCACACCTGGCAGGGCTTATGGGGCACTCCTGGATGAGTGCTCAGAAGTCACCCGTGTGCTTGGGGAACTGTGAGGTGATGGAGAGAGAACCAGGGGCGCCCACATGCAAAACCTGTGTCTTTTTTTTTATTTCATTTTTTAAAATATGTTAAAGAAATAGCTTCATTTAACACCTCCTTTGAAAGACAGAGAGGCAATTAAATTTAATTCCAAGGTATTCTTTTATCCCCAATTAAAAAAAAATATTGAATCACCGTGAGATGCAGTTACAAAGCTTTCACCTTCGAGTTTCAGTGATACAATGATCGAACACCCTTCCCTCCACCGATGCACATTTCCCACCACCAATCTCGCCAGTATCCCCACCCCCCACTTACCAGCCCTCCCCCTGCCTCTGTTCCCAATTTTTATTTTTTTATGTTTTGGGTTTGGGGACCACACTGGCAATCTTTGGGGATTACTCCTGATTCTGTGCTTAGGGGCTACTCCCAGAGGTGTTCAGGGAACCCTGTGTGGTGTCAGTACCCAAACCACAGTCAAGCCACCAACAAACAAATTCTCTACCTGCTACACCATCTCTCCAGCCCCCAGACTGGTTCTTCGAACCACTGAGTCATGCGACCCCCTTTTCCTCTGTCTGCAGATATTCCGATGCGTGGTGTCATGGCTCTGTGCCTCAGTTTCCCCACTTTCAAAGCAAGGCTAAAGGGAATAAATCGGGTAGCACTTGCTTTGCAAGAGACTGACCTGGGTTCGATCCCTGGCACCCCATAGGGTCCCCAGAGCCCCACCAGGCATGATTCCTGAATGCAGAGCCGAGAATCAGCTCAGAGCGTCATCAGCTTGTGGCCCAAAAACTTTTAAAAAAAAAATATTGTCTTGTCAAAAACAAACACTTGTCCTCCCGTTGTTCATCGATTTGCTCGAGCGGGCCCAGCAATGTCTCCATTTTGAGACTTCTTGTCACTGTGTTTGGCATATCGAATACGTCCCAGGTAGCTCGCCAGGCTTAAAATATCAAGATAAATATTTTCTTAAAATATTAAGAAAATTTTTTAAATATTACAATTCTATTATTATTATAAAAAGATCGAAAGAATTTTTTTTTCTTTTTGGGCCACACCCAGCGATGCTCAGGGGTTACTCCTGGCTCTGCAATCAGGAATTACTCCTGGCGGTGCTTGGGGGACCAGATGGGATGCCGGGGGTTGAACCCGGGTTGGCCGCATGCAAGGCAAACACCCTACCGACTGTATTATGGTTCCGGCCCCAGAAAGAATTTTTTAATATAGGAAATGATGCAGCTGGAACAATAGCACAATGCGAGGGCACTTACCTTACACATGGCTGACCCAGGTTCAATTCCCGGCATCCCATAGGGTCCCCTGAGCACCGACAGGAGTGATCCCTGAGTGCAGAGCCAGGAGTAAGCCTTGGGCATCACCAGACGTGACCACAAATAAAGAAATAAAAGGAACAAATCCGTGGAGAGTTGCCCAACAGTCTAGCAGAGAGATGGGGGGGGGGGGGGGCGTGTTCTCAGAGAGGGCAGGGGCTGGGTCTCCTCCTCCCCAGTTGAAGCGTGCACTGACCCTTCCCCCCTGACCCGTCCCCTCCCAGGTTCCAACTTCAGCCTTCCAGACGACCAAAGCCCCCTGCTGTGGGAGACGCGGTTCGGGATGGCCTTCATACGCGGCTTCCGATACCAGGACGGTGCCCTGATCATCTGCAGGGCGGGCTACTATTACATCTACTCCAAGGTGCAGCTGGCCAACCCGGGCTGCCCCGAAGGGGACTATTCCTACGCCCTGGGCCTCTACTTGCGCACGCCTCGCTACCCCGAGGAGCTGAAGATCCTGACCGGGAGGACCACGCCGTGTGAGATGGAGAGCAAGGAACAGGTGTGGTTTGACACCAGCTTCCTGGGGGGTTTGGTCTACCTGGAGCCCCAGGACCAGGTGGTGGTACGGATGCTGGACTCCAACTTGATCCTCGTCCGGGATGAGATGCAGTCCTACTTCGGCGCCTTCATGGTGTGAAGGGAGGAGAGAAGGGGTGATGGACACGTGGACGGATGGAACGGGACGGGGGTCAGGGGGACCAGGCAGAGGTCTGGGGAGGGGAGGAGAGGGGGGAACTCTCCAGCCGGCTCCAGACCTCAGGGCGCACCTCCAGGAAGGAACACAGACGTCGCAGCTGCAGGATTCAGGTGGGGAGCGGTCCCAGGAGGGACGGGCAACCCAGCCAGGCGCTCTCAGTGGACACTGCCGTAGACAAGAATTAGAACGCTTGCGGGGCTGGAGCGACAGCACAGCGGGGAGGGCGTTTGACTTGCACGAGGCCGACCCGGGTTCGATTCCCAGCATCCCATAGGGTCCCCCGAGCACCGCCAGGAGTGATTCCTGAGTGCATGAGCCAGGAGGAACCCCTGGGCATTGCGGGGTGTGACGCAAAAAGCAAAAAAAAAAGATAGAGAGAGAGAGAGAGAGAAAGAGCCTGCCACCAAGACTTGTACGAGAAGGTGGGGAGGGCCTGCTGGTTCCCACGCCTGCGCCCCCAAAGGAAGGGGTGAAACTGATCCGCCTGGCATCAGGAAAGAAGGGGTGAAGGGTGGGTATTTATTCTTTCAATGCAGAATCAAGTGGAACACCGCAGGAGTCCCGGTTCCTTGGTGGAGGGCTGCAAAGCCATGGACCTGGTCACTCCTGTGGCTGGTGGTGGGGTGACTGGGGGAGGGGGTTGGGACTCTCCCCAGGAACTCAGCCTGCAACGAGTCGGGCCCTCAGCCACCCACGGATCGAGTCATACCCTCCAGTTCCACCCACAGGCTTAGGGCCACACCTCAGCCCGGCCACAAAAATATCACTCTGACACGCAGGCGCAGAAGCGGGCAGGAGCCCACTGGCTCTCCCAGGTCTGCTTCCTACCGGGGTGGACATCTTCCCATGGCAGCTGCTTTCTGGGTTCCAGTGGCCCCAGTGTGTCCCCTCCTGGCTAAGCACAGGCGTGCAAACACACACACACACAGACACACACGTGCACGCACACACGCACACCACCACCTTCAGGACACCATGATTGCGGCTTCAGACTGTCTGGAACAGCCTAGTGCCTAGGAAATGACTCAGTTGGGAATGATGGGGTGGGAGTGGGGTGGGGGAGAGTGAGGGAGGGAAGACCCAGGAAGAAGAGAAAGGCACTGAGTCACACCTATGAATCCAGAAAATCTTTTAGGTTTGTTTGTTTGGAGGGGGCCTTTGTGCTCTGAAGGAACTGGGGGACCCTATGGGATGCTGGGATTGACCCCGACCGGCTGCACTATTGCTCTGGCCCTAGACCATCTATTTTGGGGTGGGGTGGGAGTAAAGGCCTTCAGGCCCCCCAGTGAGCCTCGGAAAGCTGGGGGCTCCTCCCTGGTTTTCTCAGCCAACTTTCCCCCGTGATTCAACGCAAGGGTCAGAGGACATGGTATTTTCCCAGACCACCCTGGAGATTCTGGGGCTCTCCTGGGTTGCGCCCGGCGATCCTGGGGGACCCTGGGGTATGGGGATCGGATGGGATCAGGTCCAGGCCGGAAGTGAGCCCCACCTCTGTGCTCTCTCTCGGGTCCCACACCCAGAGAATCTTTCAGGCAGCTTCGTAGCCACAGAGCCTGATTTTTTGCACAGTGCAAACCCTCGGAAATGCGCCCAGCACAATCGCACGCACACCCCCATCCCAGCCCCAGGCACTCTCAGAGACTAACACCCAAACACACACGCATGCACACACACACACACACACACACACACAGAGAGAGAGAGAGAGAGAGAGAGAACCTGAGGTCTCTCCTATCCAAGACCCAACACATCCTGGAGTGAGAGAGAGTCCAGTTTGGTCCGTCCCCCACCCCCCAGACTCCTGGACCACTGGTGGTGGGAAAAATAAATGGCTAGTGTTTGTTTGACACCTGAGTCCCTTCTGTCATTGTCCTTGGGGGGTGGGGAGTGCAGAGCCACAAGAATCCAGCTGTCCAAATGACAACGCACTTGGGGCTGAAGCCATAGTAGAGTGGGGAAGGTGTTTACCTGGCACGCGGCCGTCCCAGGTTCAATCCCCAGCATCCTAGGGGGGGGTCCCCTGAGCACTGTCAGGAGTTATTCCTGAGTTGCAGAGCCAGGAGGAACCCATGAGCATCGCCGGGTGTCACCCAAAAAGACAAAAAAAAAAAAATGACCGGCTGGAGCAATAGCACAGCAAGGAAGGGCGTTTGCCTTGCATGTGGCCGATCCGGGTTCGATTCCCAGCATCCCATAGGGTCCCCCGGGCACCACCAGGAGTCGTTCCTGAGTGCATGAGCCAGGAGGAACCCCTGAGCATCACCGGGTGTGACCCAAAAAGCAAAAAAAAAAAAGACAATGCTGAACCCAACATGGTCCATGGGTCCAGGACACTTTGGGTGAAGCTGAGCTGCCCGCATTTTAGATGCCCGTTCATTCAGCCCCTGACTGGATTGGCAGAGGGGTCGTGGAGGGCGAGGGGTGCAGATGACAAGGTGCAGAGCCATCAGACGGACTCTGCAAAGGAACTGCAGAGGAAGGAATCAGCCCCGAGCAGCGGGTGAATCACTCAGTATCATCGAGACTGTGGTTGTCATCATTGTGTCATTTGGGGATGCTGGTGGGAGGGGCGGGGGGGGAGGCTTGGGCAGGCAGGAAGTAGGGGTTCCCCTTCCACTCTGCCCTTTGCAGGGGGGTGTGAACTTGAGGAAGTCTCAACCTCCTGGTGCCTCAGCTTCTCCACTTGTAAAACAAAACAACCAGGAAACCCCCTCTGGTTCCCCCATCCCGAGCCAGGGGTCCTGTAAAGATATCGAGGGGGTCCGAGTGATAGTCCGGCAGGGAGGGAGGGCATTTGCCTTGCACACGGCTGCCCCGGGTTCGATCCCTGACCTCCTATAGGGTCCCCTGAGTACCACCGGGAGGGATACCCAAGTGCAGAGCCAGGAGGGACCCCTGAGCATCACTGGGTGTGACCCAAAAAGAAAAAAAATAAAGTGATATCAATGTTAAGCGTGGCGTGAGTTGCTCAGTCATGAGACCCCCCCCCCACCCAACTCAGACAAAATTCAAGCCACAGGGCCCAGAGATGGGGATTCAGTGGCGGGGTACCTGCCTTGTGTTTTTTTTTTTTTTGCTTGTTGGGTCACACCTGGCGATGCACAGGGGTTACTCCTGGCTCTGCACTCAGGAGTTACTCCTGGCGGTGTTCAGGGAACCATATGGGATGCTGGGAATTGAACCCGGGTTGTCTGCGTGCAAGGCAAACGCCCTACCCGCTGTGCTATTGCTCCAGCCCCCTGCCTTGCATTTCTGAGACTGCAATCTGGGGTGGGGTGGGAGGGGAGAGTCCAGTCACTGAGCTCAGGAATGACTCCTGTCTCTGTGCTCACGGATCTCTCCCAGAGGGGGGCAGGGGCTTGAACCAGGGTTGGCTGCATGCAAAGAAAGTGCCTTCATGGCTGGAGCGATGGTCCAGTGGGGAGGGCGTTTGCCTTGCATGCGGCCAACCTGGGTTCAATCCCTGGCATCCCATAGGGTCCCCCCGAGCACCGCCAGGACTGATTCCTGAGTGCAGAGCCAGGGATAACCCCTGAGCATTGCCGGTGTGACCCTCTCACCCTCCCAAAAAGTGCCTTCATCCCTGGACTATCTCTCCGGCCCCAAGAGCATGATTCTGGGCCGGGTACTGTGCCCCGTGTCCAGTACTACCCCCAGCCCTGTCAGTCAGTATCGTCCTTGGTGGCACCATCCCAAGCAAGTGTGAACCCCTAGTGCAAGACAGTAGAAGCAGAAAGGAAAAGAGTGTGATTCGTGGGGCTGGAGCGATAGCACAGCGGGTAGGGCATTTGCCTTGCACGCGGCCGACCCGGGTTCGATTCCCGGCATCCCATATGGTGCTCCGAGCACCACCAAGGGTAACTCCTGAGTGCATGAGCCAGGAGGAACCCCTGTGCATCGCCGAGTGTGACACACAATCCGGGTTCGATTACCAGGATCCCATATGGTCCCCCGAGCACCGCCCAGGAGTAATTCCTGAGTGCATAAGCCAGGAGGAACCCCTGTGCATCCCCGGGTGTGACCCTAAAAGGAAAGAAAAAAAAAAGATTGTTTCGCCTGCAAGTTTCCTTGATACTTTAACAGTCAAAGAAAATGAACATTGTCTGGGCACTTTCCATTCAACCAGTACCTTGGCTGACTCATCTGTGAGGCCAGTAGTGATAGGCAAACAGAAACGAAGAGGCTGTTGGTGGGGAGGGAGGTGCCCACACTTGAGTGTTTCTCTGCCCTGCATGGACACACACACACACACACCATGGGAGGTGGAACAACCCCTGAGGACCTGAAGACCCAGTCCCCACCCTCCACGGGAATTTCCTTCGCTCTCATCTTTCTGTTTCCGAGGCTGTGGGCAGAGATTGAGGCTTGGGACAATGGAAGAGCTTTTATAAAAAGGCTCCCCATAAGGCAAATGCCCTCCCCGCTGGACTATCACTCGGACCCCCTTGATAGCTTTACAAGACGTCTGGCCCGGGATGGGGACATGGGTGGAGCGCAGTACCTGGCATATAGAATCATGCTCTGGGGGCTGGAGAGATAGTCCAGGAACAAAGGCGCTTTTGGGGGGGGGGGGTGTGAGAGGGTCACACCCGGCGATGCTCAGGGGTTCCTCCTGGTTCCTCCTGGCTCTGCACTCAGGAATTACCCCTGGCGGTGCTCAGGGGACCATATGGGATGCTGGGGATTGAACCAGGGTTGGCCGTGTGCAAGGTAACAGCTTTGTCCTGCTGCCTTTTGTTTTACAGGTGAAGAAACTGAGGCACCGGGAGGTTGAGAGACTTCCTGAAGTTCAAGCCTTGGTCCTGAAGAGGGAAGGTTTTGCGAGGCTTTGGAAGCTGACTATCATCTTGAGGAGGAAGAGGAGGAGGAGGAGGAGAAGGAGGAGGAGGAGGAGGAGGAGGAGGAGGAGGAGGAGAGAGGAGGAGGAGGAGGAGGAGAGA